CAAGCTCACTGCTCCTCTTGTCGAGCTTTTCCTCTTGCCCCCTTCCCTCACTTCTCATATTCCATGCCGTAAATAAAGTAGCAATCCTCAGACCCCTATCCACTTCCTCGCCTCCAGCCCCTCTGCGTTTTCACGCGTTCCGGCGTGTAGGATCGGATTGTGTAGTGGCCTGTGCCGAACATGAACACAGTCAGCGGGCCCTCGTTGCTTGCCTTTGTTCATGCTTCCCACTCTGCCGCACGTCACGCACGACTTTTGATGAAACTTATGTTGACCGTGACTAAAGGCCACGTTCGTCAATGTGTACAACAGCAGTGCTTGGTCAATCTGTTTTTCCGGCGGTCGGGGTTGGGGCGGTACTTGTCTACGTCCGACATGATGACAAGTGGGCCCTCATTATGCGATGACCTGACCGTTTCGTGAGAGACGTGTGAAGCCTGCCTGGATGGTGTGCATTCCTCTTTCCCCGCATAAGCACACTTCACGTTGGCATCAGAGCCACCAGAAGGAATGGCGCTAGCTCCGTCCACTATCCCACCCGTATCGCCTGCAGCTGCTGATGTTGCTGTTGGTGGACGTACTATCCTCGCCTGGAGGGAGGGGTCGAGGAACAGAGCAGATGCTGCCGCAGATGCATCCTGGGTACGCGCGGAGACACAACGCCCCATGAGAGTATCGGGTGACATGATAGCGAAGTGGTTGTTAGGGTCAATGTTATTGAGGTCCAATCCCTTTGTGCATTGTAATCCTGGCAGGACCTAGAAAAACGAAGCGGCTTTGATGGACCGATGTGTATCCCGAGATTTCGAGTATACCAAGAATCAACCCTGTAGATGCAACAGCCGAAGACAAGGTATGGTTTCAGGTGACAGGCTCTCTCTTCTGCTTATATCTGTTAGGATATTTTGGAACTCACCTACGGCAATAATAGTCGCTGTTACTCTCCTGGTCCTGCATTCACTAGCAGTGTGTGCACACGACCATACGTGCACCACACGCTGCAGCTGACAATTTCACAATACGATTCTTGTTGTGCGCAAGTTGTGTAGGCGATACATGAAACTGTCAAGTTCCCGCCCGCAAATACCTGTTCATACTGTTCGTCATTCCATGTGTTAACCAGACTCCAACACACGTACGGAGGTATTGCTGGTCGTGTAGAGTTCTAAGCCGCCTGTAGAACTGCATAGCATGACTGGGAGAGACTATCAGCAACATGCGGACCTGTGATTCTCTACCATATACTTCTTGCGAGAGCATGGCTCTGGGGAGGGGGGGGAGGAGGTGTACTCATAGTCGTGCATGCCGTAGTCGTTATTAGACCATTGACCTCGCATCCCTACAAAGCCGGGACGGAGCACGCCGGGTTCTNCGTCGCGTGAAGGGTGCTCTGCATCCTGCTAAGGGTGTTTGGCATCTTGTGCGTCTTGCGTACGGATGGCAGCAGCGTATGACTCCATTTACTTTCTGGTGCGTTCACTTTCAGAGACAGCTTGCTATAAGCATTGTGTAACTGCCTCGAGGATGCTTGATCATTCTAACACAACGTGGTGCGATCATCCCCTTTGCGCAGAGTGAGGGTTCTCGACCTCGCACAACATAATCTACTCTCGACCACCATTATGGTTACCGCAAAAAATAAGAGAAAATATATACAGAGGTAACCTGGTTGCCGAGCTCACAATTGATCGGCTAGTTTTACAACGTCATTGCCAAGCGACGAAAACCCAACCCCGATGGCAAGCACCAGGGTGGGGCTTGTTTTACAACGTCGTTGCTAATCGACGAAAACCCGCCGGGTAACAAACGGGGATGGCTTTGGGAGGGAGAACTTATCGCTTCCTTGCACGTGACTTCCGTCGCATAAACGGTTGTATCCTATGAGATTGCCCGGGTCCATGAGATCGCCTCACAAAAAACAAAACTACGGGCGTTGCACCACCAATTCCTTGAGAACGCCCTGGGACGAGACACCCGTATTAGTTTTTTACATCACCCCTCTACCTTTGAGGGCGCACCGGGTCGTATTTTTTCGCTCAACCTTTCCCATCACCTCGGGGGCTGGGAGGTCACAGCGTAGGTACTAGCATCCCGAAACACTTGGAAGCTGGTTGCTGATGTTGCTGCTGATGTTGCTGCTGATGTTGTTCTTGTAGTGCTGTTGTTTGTCCCGAACATCGTGAGGTCCACAAAGGGTGTGAGGGTGTGGCAAAAATACCACATCCCCCCCCCCGCCCCCCCCGGTGTTTGACATCGGGGTTGGGTTTTCGTCGCTTGGCAACGACGTTGTAAAACAAGCCAATTCACTTCGTCAACTCAGCAACCAGGTTACCGTTTTTTTTTTTCCCCCGTTTGTTTTTTTTGCGGTAACCATAATGGTGGTCGAGTAGATCATGTTGTGCGGGGTGGAGAACCCTCACTCCGCGCAAGGGGGATGATCGC